GGCATGGTGACACTTTTTGAATAAAGAAGCAGCCATAAGTAATTTGTGCAGTTTGTGTGAAAAATGATTTGCTGTCTGTCTATCTCTTTTACAAATCAATACATCAGTCTGCAGCTACTACTAGCTCCTGATGGGTTTCACAGATTAAAGTTTTATTGTCACTGGGTGATTGTACTGCACAAACTAATTAAAATCCACTAAGAAGTCAAGGAGGCTGACGGTCACATCCAGGCCAAATTAATGTCACTTCACCAAAATCTGACCAATGCACCACGACCTATAGTACTGTCTGATTGATTTTAAAGACTACTACTAGTCCAGCAACTGCTGTGGAAATAGAAAAGTGCTGACAAAACAAGACAAAACAATATGACTTTGACCTTGAGCACAGTCATCAGATGACCACTGTGTGAAAGTTTGACTAAATCCTGACCAGTGTTCTTGGATGAGCAACGATTCTTGCAAACTGTGGACAGATGACAGACACCTCGCTATTACATAAGCTCCTCGGGTCCCCAGCCAACAAGTTACCCTTTTTTTACAAAAATAAAAACATAAATGTAAACTTCACAGTGGATAAAGGTAGAAAACCCACAAAGTCAGTAGAATTAATAGCAAGTCAGTGGGATCTTTGTACAGATCTTTTAGAGATAAAGTTTGTAGAGCCCCAAAGTCAGTGGGATTGATCTGCTGGGGGTCATGGCTGGCTCTGCGGGAGTCTTCAAATCTGGCAATCCATCCAATATATAAATATTTCAGTCTGTAAGTGGTGTACTGACCAACAGCTTAAAATTTTAATCAAGTCTGTGAAACACATTCAGAATCATTTATTCCAAAAATAAATTTACAAATATCAAAGTTGCTCGCCAGTCCCAGCACTTTATTATCAGCAGACAGTGTTTCATCTGCATTTACTGTGTTACTTAGAGGTATGGACAACAGATCGGTTCAATCTTCTCCTCCTTCTTTCTGTTTGAGAGGAGAACAGCTGCACACATTACTGGCACATGAATAATTAACAGCAGTAAAAATCGCCTCCACCAGCAAAGTATGAAAATGAAATGCAACTCATTTCGCAGGATATTTAGTGAGCCGGCAATGAGCACCGATGGAGGTGTGTTTACATCTCATGGATTGTTATTTCAAAAGCTGATGAGTGGAGAGATATTACAATTAATTAATGCAAATTGGGAGAAACATTTGTTCTTTATAATGCTGTCTATGTCTCATATAGAAATGAGAAACCCATTGTGTTGCAATTAAATAGTGCTGTCTGACCAATGCGGACGTGTACATAAAGATGAGACAGCAGATGACACATTTGTTCTGTGTCTGTAGGTCGTGCATCAAGGTCATAGCACTTGAGTGAGGAAGACAACACTAGATGATGGTCGCGGGAAATCGTGAACAAGCCCTGACATTTGTGATTCAAAATGATTTTTCCCAAACTATGATACAGGTCTTCTCTGGCAATTTCAGAGAGCAACACCATTTCTTGCAGATTAGAAATCATATAAAAACACAGCTTAAGCAGTGGCCAAGGAACAGCAGACATTTCTACCGATTGAGCCAGTGAGTCAGCTTCCATCCAAGCAGAGCTGAGTACTGTTTATCTCTCTAAGATGGGCGCTGCTGATTTCTTTGTGAAGAGAGATCGCAGGTATGTAACCTTGAGCCTCTAGCCTGGCCCGAGGCTGTTCGTCATTAGTGCGCAGAGGCTGAGTGAGAGTGGGCCTGCTGGGTAACCTGCAGCCTGTTGCTCCAGACAGGCATCACTTCAAATGTGATGTCCACTGGCAATGTGAAATCAGATCAGTGATTCAGTGCTGAATTTTAACAAGATTCTGTCATTATTATTTATATGGTGACAAATTCTCTTGATACCATTGTTTCTATTGTCAATATTAAAGCGTCATTTGTATGAGTTGTCGTGAGTCGTATGAGATTATGATCAGTCTGATATGGCAGTCGATATATATCACATTGACTGCCATGTGTTGTTTCATTGTTTTTTATTATGGTTATTTTCTTATTTAAGTGGCGCCCACAGTCACATATGGCGTCACTTGTTGCACATTACTTTTAAGGATCAGCTGGTCATTGGTGGATAGCCCAGGCTCTGGTTGCCTAGGTAACCTTCTAATGTGTTTAACAGAGCTGTTGAATGGAATGACTCATTCAAGGGCTCTGGTATTTAGTACCCTGTCATATGTCAATCATCGGTATCCTGTGTGTTCAAAAGTCTATCTCAGGACCCCCACATTTTGCACTACCAACGTTTTTTTACCCACTGTCTTTCTGTGGTCTCTGGTCACCACGTCACTGCAAAATTGCTTCCTTTGTGTGACTGCAGCTTTATCAAAAGGCAAGTAGACTGATTTGTACATATAGCCAGGAGCTGGGGGGAAGAGGTATAGTTCAAAGCTAGAAAGAGGTTCAAGAAAACTAAAAACATAATTGACTGTAGGGGTGGGGGGAAAAATAGATACTGTGTAGTATCGTGATATTTTGTTTGCTAATAATGTATCGATACAGGGACAGCAGAAATTGATATTTTGTTACAAAAAAGGTTTTTGTGCTGACTTCAGAGCATGTTGATCCTTTTTCTGAGCAAGAATCCTGACATTCCTTCACTGTCCAAATGTGTTTAACTTTTTTTTGGCAGCAATAAACATGACAGTTTACTTATTTTAATTTAAGACATGTTTTATTTTAATTAAGTTTAAAACTTTTTTATTTAATGTAAAATTATATTTTGTTTTAATTTACTTTCAAATTCTTCAGTTGCTGAAGGGGCTGCATAGTTTTCATAAATTGCATAGTTCAGAATAGCTATAATTGTACCAGATGGTTGCATTCAGTTAAGTTGGACTAGACTGTAATACAAACCGTTCAGTTTGTCAACAATAAAACTGACTGAAATGAGAGAAAGACTGAGTGTGAGACTTTGATATTAGATAAAATGAATATTGATAAAGTTTACCTTTATGTACAGAATCTGAATATCGCAAAATATTTTTTAAAAATTGCAATAATATCATATCGTGCGTTAAGTATTGTGATAATATCGTATCGTGGGATGTATGGTGATTCCCACCTCTAATTGACTGTATATAAAAGATAAAAAGCAAAAGCAACACAGAGGTGTCCTGGACTTGTAACCTTACAAACAGCCAGCACTAATTGCTCTCTTAATCTTTCCTGATAATTTTAGTATTTCATCTGCTAGTTTTAAGCTTTACTGAATACAATATGATCTTAAATTGATAAATCACAGTCCTCACTAGAGTCAAAAAGCACAAGGCAGGTCTGCTTTGTCATTGACAAGTTTCCCTATGAACAGATGGTGCCATTAGACTTCTATGCCAGATCTACCTTCTTGCTTGTCTAGCTTGTAAACAGCATGATGCCAATGGAGGTTTCACACGGTGACTTCACTAACCAATGACTGAGGTCACAAAAGCCAGATCTGTCTTTTTTATATCAAATGAAAGTTTATTACATGGAAAGAAGCAACAACACCTCTGTTATAACTGTAAAAAAAAAAAAAGTAGCAAGCACTCCAAGTAGTCACAGTGCCTGGCTAGGGATTAGCGACAACATTTTTTGTTAATTAAAAAAAACTATAGAGCTCATTCTAATGTTCTATGCATAAAATATACGTCAGTAAGACTAAGCCACTGTGATGACGCGCTGATTATTTCTGGTTTTGACATTTTTAAGTGAACCTCTTATCCCAAAGCAGCACACATGGCTGCTGATAGCGCTTTCAGTTGATCTCATGGGCCTGGTGTCAGTGATTTGTTTGGACACGTAATGAACACCTCCGGGACCCCGATCTCCGAGTTATCTAAAGAGAGATTGGCTTGGTTCAGCCAAGTATGTCATAAAGACTGAAGGCAGGGGGAAACATAGCTAGCCTTAATCTAATGAGGAATAATATGACTTCCCACAGCTCCAATATTACCTTAATTACATGTTGTGTCTTCTAAGCTAACAAGGCAGCCATAATTACACAAGAATAAACTGTGTTTTACTCAGATTTTACAAACGTAAAAGTGCAAAAGATTTAAGATTTTGATTCTGTTCCTTTGTTATGCTGTCATTACACAAATAATGACTCCAGTGTGTAAAAGAAAGCAGCTTATGTTTTAAAAATTGAATACAAAACATACATAAGGCATTTAAAAACAAACAAACATGCAATAGTGATCCTGTTCCCTGTGCCCAGTATTTGTGCTACTGAGGAGCATTTGGGATTCATTTTGCAGCACAAATTGTTAGATTGAGAGGACGACAGCGTCACTGTTCGCACCAGTGCTTCGATTAATGGTCCCTTCACACCCCACTTATTAAGATGTACTGTAAGTCTCTACTGTGCATTATTAAACAAAGACACAGTGTCCAACTGTTTGACAACACAGGGTGTCGTCTTTACACTCTAACTTTTGACTGAATGCACATTCAGCTGGTACAGAAGGCTGCTGATGAGTGTGTGACTTTTTGACGTAATACACACTCGCCAGGCCGACTGGTTAGTCACAGCACTC